TATATACATATATATATTACATATATATATATATATTTGAAAGAAAAATATATTCAACCATTATTAGTATCAATCAAATTCCTTTTCCCTGTTTATTGTCATTAGTTCACCCAAGTAAAGAATAAAAAATAACGTTACCTCATCTGATCATGCGTGGTATCGATGGTAACATTAGCAGACACATCATGGGGTGCATGAAGGCCCATCTCTGAACCCCTGCTGGTTCTTCCATCTAGCGGCACCACAAGTAGGTCTGCACCACCTCTACCCCCTAGGCTTGAGGAGGGTGTGCAAGGGGTGGAAGCAGCGGTGGCTGACAGGCTTGACGACAGTGACGATGATGAGGCAACCTGGAAGGGACAAGATGTTGGAATTTGAGTATGTGGTTGGCTTTTCTCTCTCCTAAATATTTTCATTAAGTCTGAAAAGCCTACTCAATAATAAAGGAATGCAAAAAATAATCTATTAACACAAAAAGAAAACTATTTGCTTTCAAAACAAACCCTTTTCCTTCCCTGTAATGTTGAGAAATCTAGATTGCAAAGTTCAAATAAAACAATAATGCCAACAATAATCAGACTCTCAACATACTGCGATATCACAAAATGGGAAACTGGATCTGGGTTCTCTAGTCCCTACTACATCCAACAAAATTTCAAAGCCAGCACTTCTCCTGCCCAATGAAAGGGTCCATCAATTTCCCGCAACGAAGTTCACAGAGAGGAAAAGAGACACAGAAAAGAGAAAAAGAGAAAGAGAAAAAAGAACAACAGACATTACAGCTTTCTGCAAAAATCCAAGCCCATGGACTCACCTCAGATTTAAACGCATTGGCAACTGTAGAAGACCCCACCCGTACAATAACGCTTTTGACACTGGACCGGGCAGGGGTGGACTCAGGCACGTAGGAGGCAGAAGAGCCGCTGCTGTGATCGCTAATCCCCCCACCTAAGCTGCTCCCCGTACGCCTTGGAGACACAATGATTGGTGCTCTCTCCTGAGATGTCTCACCACTATCCTCACTCATGTCTTCATCCTGTGTTACAGCAAGAAAGAACACTAAGCCATAGTGGTCCCCAACCTTAATCCCTTAATGTGCTTGACTAAAAAATCATATGAAAAAATATTAGAAGATAGATTTCCATTTGTGTGTACAATTCCCTATGTTTCTCCTAATGAACTACTCTCAGAGAAAATAAAGATAACATAAATAATAACTATGAAACAAAATGAAAAGTAATACATGCATCCTCCCTATGTACTAATATTTACCCACTATACTTTGCATATACATATACACATATATATATACATATATATATATACATATAT